CCCCCCAGGCCATCGCTTTCTTCATGTACAGCCGCAGCCTCTGGTGGTGGCCCGGCGTGCACCAGCTCCTCCTCGCCGCCGCCACCGGCGGCGCCTTCACGGGCGTCTCCGTCCACGACGCCACCGGCGCGCTGCGCCGCACGCTGCGCTTCAACCGCCAGACAATCTGCACGACGTTCTACCGCCGGCTCGGCGCGGCTGCGCGCCGCGGCGGCGGCGCCGCGGCGCTGCTGGCAGCGATCGACTCTGAGGTTGAGGCGGCGGCGGCAGCGGCGGCCGCGGCGGCCGCGGCGGCCGCTGGGGCGGCGGCGGAGGACGCCGCGAAGGCCAAGGCGCGGGCGGAGGCTGACGAGGAGGGGCGGTGGGAGGGCGCGGCGTCGAGGGCGGCGGCGTGGCTGGCGCTGGAGCTCCTGGGCATCGAGGCGGGCGAGCTGGGTGAGCGCTGGGGAGCTCAGTGCATAGGGGGGCGCTCGGATCGAGGCCGGGGGCGTTTCGGGTTGGTTTTGCCCTGCACGCGCTGTAAGGACCAAGGGCTCCTCACGGGGGACGGCGCCCAGCTGGTGACATCACCTTGGACGTGGCCGCTAGCCTCACCTCGTCCCGGACGTGATGCGGGGGTCGCGGCCCGCCTTTACCCGCAACTTCGAGCCCAACGCCTGCCCCCAAAACGGCTGCGGCCGGCCCCTTTTCCTCAGTCATCGCCGAGGACATGGCCGGCCCCGTGACGGCAGCCGCAGCCGACAAGCTGACCGCCACCATGTGCTACCTCGTCCCCGCGGCCCCGGGCACCCTCTCCCGCCTCCTCCGCACCGCCGCCGCCGCCCCCGACGGCTGGCTCCCGCTGTGGCGCCTCGAGGGGCAGCCCACAGGCGCGATCTCGCGGCAGCTGACGATCTGGGACTACTCACCTAAGCCCGTCGCGCAGGCCGAGGACGGGCGCGCGCTGACGTATCCGGGGGTGCCCGTGCAGGCGCCCCGCGCGGCCGCCGCACGGCGCCACGCGCGCACGACGGCGCGCACGTACACCTGCGAGCAGGACACGCGCGCGCTCGCGCTGCGTCTTGCGGCGGCGCAGCTGCGCGCGCAGGCAGCGGAGGCGGACGCCGACGCAGCCGGCGCGGCGCGGCCGCTGCCGCCGCACCCGGCGGGCCAGCCGCGGGCGGTCGCGTCGTACTCGGCTGGTGGCGCGGCTGCCACGGTCAGCGTGTTGAGGCCGGCGGTTGCGAAGCTCGCGCTCGGGGCGCCAAACGTGGCGGTCGACGTCCACACGGCGCTCGAGACGGCCGCCATCGAGCTCCATTTAGACCTCGAGCCGGTCTCGGCCGCGGCCGCGTCGGCGGCGGCGGCCGGCGGCGCCGCCCCTGTGCGCGTAGGGCCACCCAGCGGGGTCGGGACGATCTCTGTGGACTTTGGTGCGGCTGCCAGCTACTCCGCGGTTGTAGCGCTGCACGGGGGGTCGCACCGCCTCGCGCTGCTGAGCTCTGCGAGCACGGTGCTGCTGCGCGGCGCTGACCCGCCCGAGTGGGTGACGCAGCAGCTGCGCGCTGCCGACGCGGCCGCCGCCGGCAGCGCGCGCGACGTGCCGCCGGTCGCGGCGCTGCTGCGGAACGCGCAGGGCGAGCAGTGGCTGCTGTGCTGCGACGCGCTGGCGACGGCAAGCGTGAGCGCCAACCTCGGACGCCTCTGGCCGAAGCAGCCGCAGGGCCTGCGCTGCTGGCACAGCCGCGGGTCCCTCCTGGCGACCGTCCGTGAGCGCGGCGGCGGCGGCGCGGGCGGCAGCGCCGCCGCGCCGGGCCGCGGCCGGCTGCGGCGGTCGGGCAGCCTCGACAAGCCGCCGCCCTCTGCGCGGCGCGGGGAGCTCGGTCTGGCGTCGCGGCGGATGCGGTTCCAGGACACGCTGTCCAGCCCGCTGACGACGCTCGAGGAGGTCGAGGCGGGCGCCTCGGTCGCCACAACCTCGGAGATCAACTCGCTGCCGACGCTGTCCGAGGCGAACACCCTTGGGACGGGCGACACGCAGGAGGGAGGGAGCGTAACCAGCGCGGGGCTGGCGGCCGCGGCGGCGCAGTGGACGCTGCAGAGCGCGGTGCCGCAGTGGCTGACGTCGCTGCTGGACGCGGTCGCGGTGCCGTGGGCGTCGTCGGCGCAGGCGGCCGCGTGGCGCGTGCCGGAGGGGCTCGCGCTCGCGCGGCCGGCCCGAGCGGGCGGCAGCGTGGTGGCGCACACGGAGGCGCTGCCCGACACGGGGCTCAATCGCGCGTTCCTCTGGTGAGTGTGTGTACGCACGCGCGCGCGCGTGTGTGTGTGTGTGTGTGTGTGTGTGTGTGTGTGTGTGTGTGTGTGTGTGTGTGTGT